TTTACTTACGGTGACCCCCATATGGGACACAAAGCGCGCAAGTTAGACGAAGCGCCGCAAACAAGAAAAGAGTTGTTGCAAATAAGAAAAGAGTTGTTGCAAATAAGAAACGAGTTGTTGCAAATAAGAAACGAGTTGTTGCAAATAAGAAACGAGTTGTTGCAAATAAGAAACGAGTTGTTGCAAATAAGAAAAGAGTTGTTGCAAATAAGTAACAAGTTGCTGCAAATAAATAATTTCAAACGCTCTCTAAAAATACTAAGATCTACTCATTGTCGTATGAGATAAGAATCGTTTTTCTGTGCTTCGAAGGTTTTTTCAGCGGATACTGCTATTTTTCTCCATCCACAAAAAATACAACTTCCAAAATCCGGTTTGCTCATACAATGAAGACCACAAATTCCAGTGTTAGCCACTTTTTGTTAAGTGCTGCACTCTATTTWCAGGCTTTTTTAGTCTCTCCTTGATCTTCCAAAATATTACTTATTTTATGCTCCTTCTAAAAACAGGCGTAACAACGTGGCCAGAAGGAACTTTTGGCTTACTCAAGCCCATAACAGGCTGTCCAAGAGGGTTTCATGGCCGTGGTTTTGTCTTCCAAGACACGGTGGATGCCAATCCAAGTAATAACAGATCAGATATCTTGCATATTGATGGRTACTTTGGTAAGGGGGAAGTCCTGAGGTACYTCTGTACAAAATCAGGTGGTACAAGTTCAGTTCAATGGCCAAGCGGTAAGGCAAAGATAAAATAATTAGATATCACTTGGGAAGGCAATAAGTGTGAACTTTCCCCTTCTCTTCATCAGGGGTCCGTTTTAATAATATAATGCCATTGTGATGTTAATGTGCCCACCATTTTAAAAATTTTGTCAGTTTGCTTTAGTGATTGTCTATGATYGTCTAATACATTTCCGGTTGCTAATTGAAATATTCTGCAATCAACCAAAACAACTTTGCGTCATCGTACGCCCACCTTTTAAAGCTACAGCTACAGAAATGAGAGACAGATTCGAACATAGTATGTGGGATTAGAGAAGAATGAACCAAAGATCTCTTGTTTCCAAAGCAGCGTTTTTTTACCGACTCAAACACAGACTCTTGTTCCTCAAAGAAATCCACCTTATACAAACTTAGCAAGTAAAAATCAGCACATCAAACATTTTAGAGCACGAGAAAATAAGAAAATCCAAAACTAACAAAATTATTAATAATTAATAGATAATAGTTATTTCCTTTGAGTTTTTAAGAGAATCGAAAGAAGTGACCACAAAAGTTGCATGTTAGGGAAAAAAATATGGGTGCGTCTCACGGTATCTTCATATAAAATTCCTTTGACATTTTCTTCGCCAGGTCAGTATTGTATATACAGTCTTAAAGAATCGACTTTGGAATCAGGATCAATTCGAATGTATGATGAGGAGAAAAACAACGGAGATACGTTCAAAATCAATTATAACTTTGTTAGTATAAGTAAGACAATCGTCACGAGGTATTATGTTTATACGGAGTTGTATTTTGCCTGTCAAACAAGAGGTAAAAAAGAGATCCCAATCTCGTTACCGATA